CTTTAAAAGGAAGGCAATTAACTGCGTATCAAAGGTGGAAATGCTTGCAGAGAGAAGGGAAGGAGGAGGCAATGAACCTGTGCGGAGGCGGAGAGGAAATCCGCACTCGTTGCTCTTGTTATTTGCCCTTGGACTTATGGAAACTCTACAAATGAGAGACCCCCAAGCTAACCTATCATCCACAGCCCTGCTCAGGTCTTGCAAGCCACAGTGGCTTCCTTGGTGGAGCCTATCCAGCCTTCCTCTTTTCCCATTGCCTTCCACCTTGCAATAACCATTATGGCCTTTTCTATTGTGCCATTCCTTGTATGGCCACCTCAGTTTAGTCTCCTTGACTTCTAGGGAGAGTTCAGACATCTTGATTTGGTCTGCCATCTACTTATCTTTTTTAGCAGCCCACAGTATCCATCAAACTCTTCTCCAACACATGCGTTGATATAAACCTAACGGTTTGCTTTTGCTCACCTTGCCAACTCCTCCTGCAAGCCTTTTCCAGGCAGAACTCAGCCAAAAACGTCAACACAAAGGGATGTGATGCCACTTCCAGGGTGCACAGATGCACCTGTGCATGGGGCAAAAGACTATGGGGTTGCCCACCCCAAATGACACGGTTGAAGGCTCTAGATCGAGGAAGAGGGACCTTTGGTCTAGGGCCGAATCTGACCCTCTTGGAGTTAGAAACTGGCCACCTGTGGTCACCCTCGTAGCCACGCATCCTCCGCCATGATGCTGGTTTCTCAGCTCTGCTCCTGGTTTGGGTTTCCCTCGTTCTGAAAAGCCGAAATGCTGCCCCTAAGGCTTTGTTGCCAGCAATAAGAATTTTAATTTGCAATACGCTGGCCCCATCCCTTTTTCCTTTGGTCCTACCTAATATTAGGATGCTCTCAGTACACACACTTTGAAACTGAATTCCCTCCTCATGTTGAAACAAGTCCCTCAACCTTGGCTTTTACCTAGTGTTTAAAAATAAAAGATTACTTGCGTACTAAATAGTTCCAGTTTCCCCCCAATATGACCAGCCAGCAAACTGGAAACAAAGCAATGTGAGTGAAAACAAGCCAACCCAAACATCAAATGTACGTACTCCAGCATCCGTCATCAATTGTGTGGTTGCTTAGAAGACTGGAGATATGTAATACGGTGCGGCTAATGCATCCCTTTATTAGCAATATGTTTTTGGAAAATGCCTGAAAACGCTATAAATTACCTTATAGCATGTACAGGACTGAAGGGATAACCACTTAAGGTGGCTTTGACTTAATTCTTTGCAAAGCTTACTATACAGTCAGTCCTCCATATCCATGGAGATATTTTTTTTTTAATCCACAGATTCAAGTATCCACAGTCTAAAAATATTTTAAAATGTACAAATTCCAAAAAGCAAACCTTGCGTTTGCCATTTTATATAAAGGGCACCATTTTACTATGCCATTCTATTTAATTGGACATGAGTATCCACGGATTTTGGGGGGTCCTGGAGCCAAACCCCAGCAGATACCAAGGGCTCAGTAGTTATTCTTCCAGACAGAAGGCTCTCCTTAGAGTCAGAGAAGTCAATTTTAGCACGATCTGAAAATTTTGGCTTAATGAGAAGTTTAACACATAAGCGGAGGCCTGTGCAGCAATTCCAGGTTTTAAAAAGCTGAGTATTAAGTGTCTATGAGTGTCCATCAGCACCCTCTGCTGGCAGAACGGGGCAATACAAGGACGGTCAAATGGACAGCTAGCCTAAAACGGTTTGCATTGCGCTTTCGGCAGAGCAACCAACCAGCAGAACAGAAAACCAGTGCCTTTCAAAAGGCTGGGGTTATTTGTATAAAAAGCACTGGGTTGCATGTAAAAAAAAGGGGAAAAAAAGAAGTTTTGACATTTAAAAAAACCACTTTATTTTATTATATATTGTACAAAAAAAGCTATATTTTGGTGCAAAAATGGATCTCTGGGGACAAAACCCAAAGTTTTTGTGCATATCAAAATTTTTGCAAAGTCCCAAGATAGGGAAAATAGATCATTGAAAGTGCACAAACCTTTCATAATTAAGCCCAATGGGGAGGATTTTTTTTTTAATTATTCCTTCTTGTGTGCAAGAATAAAGAGGAGATTCACAGTCCTAATCGTAGCCAAATTTCCCCAATTCTCCCCACTCATAAATTCATCTCAAAGGGAACATCTATTCCTGGCAGGAGGAGAAAAACAAACAAAAAAGGGGGGTTACCTCACCTTTAGACCTCTTTCCTCAACCCCCCCCCCCAAATCTGACCCAATAGCACAATGTTTCCCAAACTTTGGTCCTCCAGATGTTTTGGACTTCAGCTCCCAGAATCCCTGATTGTTGGCCCACATGGCTAGGCCTTCTGGAAGATGAAGTCCAAAACACCTGGAGGACCAAAGTTTGGGAAAGACTGCAGTATTGACCTTGCAAAGAATAGTAGTATGATGCTGGTAACAAGAGATAAATAGTTTCCTCCGGAGCTGCATTTGCAAAAGACGAGAAGATACAATACACACACGCACACACACACATACACACACACACATGGAAGAGTTTTTGGAAAACCATGTTCATATTTGACTTCCCCAAGGACAGGGAAAGCGGAGGGAGGGATGAGGAGGAAACCAAGGTTTAAAAATCCCAACAGGTATCTGTGATTCAAAGAGTATCCCAGCAGTTCTTTGGACCTTCATTATAAACCGAGTTCGAATGCTGTGCTTCCAAGGCTTCTGCCAGGATCCAGTTCCTCTCTGTAGAGAGGAATACGCAACCCCCACCCCCC